GGAAGGGAAGGGAAGGGAAGGGAAGGGAAGGGAAGGGAAGGGAAGGGGGCATCCATAAATAGGAGAAGATTTATGGAGGGAACAGAAAAGAAAGGAACGGAAGGGAAAAGAAGAAGGGAAGGGAGGAGAAGAAGGTAAGGAAAGGGAAGGGAAGAAAGGAAGGGAAGGGAAGGGAACAGAAGAAAAAGGAAGGGAAGGGAAGAAGGGAAAGGAATGAAGAGAGGGAAGAGAAGGGAAGGGCAGGGAAGGGGCAACCTTGATTAGGCTCCCACCGCCTTCCCTGACTCCAAGTAAATGAACATGTATGTTACGGTCATGCTGACATCCTTGTCTCCTCCTTTATCTTCAGAACAGAGCAGTATTTATGAACACAGGCTCTGGGTCCAAACAGCCTTGGTTGGAATCCCAGTTCTGCTACTTGCTAGCCACGTGGCTTTGAGCAAGTTCCTTAACTTCTTCAAGCTTCACTTTCACATCCATAAAATGGAGACACTAGCAGAATCCACCTCATTGAGTTGCTGTGGGGATCTAATAATGTATTCCACGCAAAGTACAGAATGAGTGTCTAATACATCTTCATGCTGTTGGAAACACACTGTTCTTTGAGTGTCAATCAGCTTATTCAAGTTCCTGCTAAAACGTGTTTCTTCTCCTCTTTACCATCACACCTCCAACTTCAATGTCTAGAATCTCTACCCCTTGTCTCTACTTCACTGTGTTTAAAAAATATATATCTTTCTATTTTTATAGAGGTTCTGAGAACTGAGGAGAAACAGTCTTTCCCCTCCCCTCTGGGCTCACAACCCTCTCTCCGCATCCCCTGCCCCCCTCATCTGTGCTGGCCAGTTGTTCACAAGTAGCTTAACAGTTTTGAGAATACAAAAACAGGAAATTATGCCCCAGCCCTAAGACTAAAAAACTCATGTGCAAATCCTTCAGTGGACAGATTTCTTCAGCTTTCAAAAACTAGGGCTTTGAAAAATCAGGTCCCATGGCCAAGATCTCTGGATTTGCTTAATCATTTCCTTTGCAAATTTATAACCTCTTTAACCATGAAGGGAGATGGTGAGAAAGGGGGAGGCGGGAGTTGAAAATGTTTTAAGTCAACCGCAGGACAGGACAGGAAATTCTGGAGGGGGGTGCATTTTTCTTTAATCCCTCAGTGGCAGAGAGGCCTAAGATAGCAGCTCTGGAAAACTGTTTATTGTCCAAGAAATGACCGTTTCGGGATATTGTTTTGCTGTTGATGTTGACCCAGAGGAAAACGTGGCAGCCTTCTTCATCCAGTGGCTTCATAGAGAATAGAAGGGCAGGGGAGGCGCTAAGACAGCCTGGTCTGACCCTTGACTTGACTCATGCAACAAACGTTTATAGAGTGGCTGCCCTGCCCTCCAAAGGATAGAGAGGACTGAGGTGGCCTCCCAAAGAGGTAGAATAACTTCCTCACTTTTCAATGCCATTTGAAATGTTAAAGAATCTACTGGAGGCTGTCTACTAGAAGAATCTAAAACAGGTGATCCAAAGCTGTCTTATTACTAAAATTCCCGAAAGACAAAAAGAAGCGTTCCTTTGTTTTTGTTTTTCTTTTTTGCCCCCTTCCTTCTCACTTGCTGAGTTTTTCTTGGCTAACCAGAGTAACGTACTTTTTTAACCTTTAAGGTAAGTTCCTGTATTTAGCAGTGGTTTTCATTTGAAGCCAGGGCCCAACCTACTTATGTTGACCCAGCAAATGAAATTGAATGGAATGGAATAGAAAACAATAGAAATGGCATGAGGCATCACAGGTAATGTGACTAACACTCATCCGTGGAAGGTTGGCTTTGATTACTAATGTATGTGTAGAGACTCAAAATGTATTTCTTATTATGATTTGTAGTAAGAAAAGTTTAAAAGCCTCTGATCTTTAATAGAATTCAGCAGCTAAAAGTGGGGGATCTAGAGTCCACTGGCAGGAGTTTGAACGTCAGCCGGCCACTTCCTGGCTGTGGGATGTTGGATAGGCTGATTATCCTCTCTGGACCTCACTTAGTTAAGGGAAATAAAGAGACATATAAAATGAGAGCTATGAATACAACACAATAAAGAGAGAGATAAAATGAATATTGGACATCACAGTGTCTGAAGTGCTGGGGTCATTTATCTTCAGAAAACTCCATCCTGCCCTCTACATCTTTCATTTGGCCCAGCGTTCTGCTAATTGTCTGGGGCCTACTTGCCTTAGGTAAAGCTACTTCCCCTATCTTACCCTCTCTCGATTTGATCTCCCTTCATTCCTTCCATCTCCAGTTGCTACCTCTAACATCATCTGTGGAAAACCAGAGCCATTTAATAGGTAGAATTTCTCTTGGGAAAAATGGCTGCACAGTTGCAGACCACCTACCTACTGAGTACAAAGATAAAAGCTAGACAAAAACCTTGAAGGCATCCTAAAATAGAGGTACAATATTCCACTTCAATTGAAAGCAACAGTAAGAGTGACAGTCGACTTTTCAGCAGAACTAATGAAAGTCCAAGGACAAAATCCTAAAAGAAAAAGAAAAGAAAGAAGGAAAAGAAAACATAAGGTAAGATGGAAAAATAAAAGAAAAAGAAAAAAAAGAAGAAAGAAAAAAATAAGGGGTTGGAAAAAAAAAAACTGCCAACCTATAATTCTACACCCAGTAAGAAATAGTTATCAAAATTGATGGTAATTATGTTTTCAGACAAACAAAAACTAAATTGCTGTGTTTCTAACAGATCCGAACTAAAAGAAATACTAAAAGATTCCTTTTAAGAAGAAATAAAATGATCTCAGATGGAAGAATAAAAATGTAGGAAAGAATTAAAAGCAGCAGAAGGATAAATGTGTTGGTAAATCTAAAGGAATACCAACTATATTAAAAGATCATAATAATGTCTTCTGGGATTTAAAATATATGTAGAAGGCTGGGGGTGGTGGCTCACACCTGTAATCCCAGCATTTTGGGAGGCCAAAGTGGGTGGATCACTTGAGGTCAGGAGTTCGAGACCAGCCTAGCCAACATAGTGAAACCTCATCTTTACTAGAAATACAAAAATTAGCCAGGCGTGGTGGCACAGTAGCAGTCTCAGCTACTCTGGAGGCTGAGGCAGGAGGGCTGCTTGAACCCAGAAGGCAGAGGTTGCAGTAAGCCAAGATCACACTACTGCACTCCAGCCTTCATGACAAAGCAAGACTCCATCTCAAAAAGAAATAAAATATATGAAGAATTAAAATACACGGTAGCAATAGCACAAAAGGTAGTCAAGAAAAAAAGGCACTGAACATGTTCCAAATTATTTTATTGCCAGAGAACTAACAAACTTTTTTACATTCTGATAAGTCAGGGATTATAACTGTAGTCCATAAGGTAATTAAAAATATAGAAATAACAAGCTAATAGGAGAAGCACAATGATTGAAAAGAAAGACCTCATTAATTTAAAAGGTCAGAAAGGAGAGAAGGGGGAACTTACAAAAGCTGAAACTAATTAAAAACAGTCATATATTAATATTGTGATAGTACTATATTAATCATTACTTTAAGTGCAAATAGAGTAAATATTCCCAAAAGACAGATTTGATACTAAATAAAAAAACAAAAACCCAAATATAATCTTCTTACATGAGATAAGCCCTAAATACAAGCACATAGACAAGACGAAAATAAAAAGATAGAAACAGATATTGCATGAATATGGTAACCAAAAGAAAGCTAGTGTAGCCATTCTAGTATCAGATGAAATACACTTTTAGAAAAGAAACAATATAAAAGATAAAGAGGAATATCTTATAATAACAAAAAGGGTCAGTCCTACCAGGAAAGGCAATTCTAAGTCCACAGCACCTACTAGAATAGCTTCAATATACCTAAAGCAGAAACTGCCAGATCTAAAAGGAGAAATAAATCCAGAATTATAGAGGTAGGCTTTAACATATTTCTATCAGCAACTGATAAACAGAAAGACAAGTTAGTGAGAATGGAGAAATTTACACACTTGGCCTAATTGACATTTGTGGAACAAAGCAACCAATAACTGCAAAATGCATCATCTTTGTCTAACTGCACATGGGGCATTTAACGAAAATCGTCACATGCTGGACTATGGAGTAGGTCTCAACAAATTTCAAATGCTAAAAGCACACAATATGTTCTCTGACCACAGTGGAATTAGCTAGAAATCAATAACTAAAGATAAGAAAATGTCTAAGTAATTGGAAATTAAGCAAAGCAATCCAAATAGCTCATGATTTAAGAGAAATCAGTAGAAATTAGAAAATATTTATGTGACATATCAAAATGTAGGATTCAGTTAAAGCTATGCTTATAGGGAAATT